TTCAATAACTAAACAATAAAGAGTCCGTCTATGGAGGCAGTATTTCGCAACATCAAGTCGCCTTTTCAAGATCAATTTACACACTAATCATCATAGCAATACCAATCAAGAAAATAACTTTCCATTAATCTTCATTCAGTAGTAATCAACAAACAAATACTCGAGGCTCTAATCTTTCCAGGAATACAGTATCAGAGCTTCAATTTCACCAAAGCGTGAACATCTAATAACATAAAGAGCAAAGAAAAAACCTGGATTTTGCGGCTTATTGTCGACTAAATTAGGAGGAGAATCGGACTGACTCGCCATGTCCACTCCTCTTCTTTAGTACAAAATCTTGAGCAAAAAAGGGAAAACAAGAATTAGTGGAAGAAAATAGCAGAAGCTTTCGAAATGATTGAAGAGAAATTGTGTATTACCTAAGGCGATGACGATACAAACTAGAAAGTGTGAAGAAGGAAAGTGCGTTTCAGTCTTTGCTCATCGCATAATAGATTAGACTCCATGTCCCCAGCCCCGAGGTCCTGACTTTTATAGGTCGAAATTTTTTCAATATGCCTTTGTTTATCCATTTTGAAGAAAATAATTTGAAAAATGGATGTTGATAAACTTTTCTTTTCTTTTTTTTTTTTCAAAAAAATAAAATAAAATAAAGAATTGGAAATGAGGAGTGTAAAAATTGAAAATATAGAATTAAAGTAAAGAGGCTTGATTCATTTACTATCTTGGAAAAATGGAGGATTTTTTAGAAAAAATGAGAATTGGAGAAGTGGAAAAATAAAAATTGAAAAACTTGTTTACTATATTCACTCTTTCAAAGATAAATTCTCGCATCTTTCAAAGATAAATTCTCTCAGAACAACTTAAGCTTCTAGCAAATTCTTCTAACGAAGAAATGGAGGAAGGTGGAGGCACGAAGCCATGATATAAAATATAAATTCAAGCTTCTAGCAATGCCATCTTTTCTTGCCATTAGTCATTTTAAAAGTCTCTAGCTATAAAGTACATTGTGGTCAAATGACATCATTGTTACCATTTCAAATGGAGAATCTCATGTTTGAGTCCACTGATTTTGACATTAGAGGAGTGTTTGGTTCAACTTATATAAGATAACCAATATTTATATTTATTTGAGAATATAAGATTCTTATGTTTGGTTCAGGTTATATAATTAATTTTTTAAAAGAATATAACATAATCTCTTCCCTTGTCTTTTATTAATTTTTCCATTTTAATCCATTGATTTTTCTCTCATTAAATACATAAAATGTCTCTCATTAAATACATAAAATGTTTATCATGCTCAACTCTTTAGTTAAATATTTTTAAATGATTTACTTCTATATATATTTTATCATTACCTTATTTATTTATTTTAATTTTTAAATTTATTGAAATACATAAAAATAAGTTAATGATATTAAAGCAAAATACTCCCAAAAAATAAAAATAAAAAACTCTCTGACAAAACAAGTTTTAATTACATATAGTTAATGTCATTTTTGGTCCTAGACTTATTGAGACATTGACACTTTTCATCCTCCATAATAAAAATTGCCACTTAGTAAACACTGTTATTGGTCGTTGGACAGTTTTGATCCTCCGTCAATGAAGTCGTTTGTTGACCGTGAATTAGAAGGGCTTTTCTGTCTTTTTATGTCTTATTCTTCTAATCTTGTTTAGACCAGCGCTGCTGTGACTCCTGTGAGGCGGCTAAGTAGTAACCATCGGTAGTGAGTAGCAGCGAGGTTCTTCTCCGGCGAGTTATGGGTACGGCGGCGAGCATACGAGGCAGTAACTCCTTCCGGCGACGAACCAGTAGGGCATATCTGGCGGTGCAGCAACAGAACTGGCGAGGTTGGGGCCATCACCGGTGGTTTTTGGTTCCGGCGAAGCAGAGAGGGCAGCAGGTCGGCGAATATGGTAAATAACATTTGTAGTTGTAGATGGCGTGATGTAGAATTTGCACCTGTAAGTCCTCCCTTCCATATTGACCACAAAATATCCTTCCCATCTCTCTCTCTCTCTCTCTCTCTCTCTCTCTCTCTCTCTGACCACAACTACTTGGTGCACAACCTCAAAAACTCTGTTATTCTACCTGAAATTCATTGAAGTTTCAAGCTGAAAATGTGGAATCCGCCGCTCCCCAAAAATTGCATTGTCCGAGGTGTTGGAATGGACGGTGTTGACTTCCTGGCTGCTGTAGCTTCGTTCCCCAACCCGGATGATAAAATTCGGAGCACCAGCTTTGAGGTTCAAGGAGGTGGTAACACTGGCCATGCTTTGATAAAACCCGGATGATAAAATTCGTCTAGGTCTTAATCCAAGGATCATATCTAAGGTTGCTGATGACTCGCATGACGAAAGAATACTTGATGAGCTTGAAAGGGATGGTGTTGATACATCTTTTATGGTGATGTCTAAAGGAGGAAACTCACCATTCACATATGTCATTGTTGACAACCAAAAAAAAAAAAAAAAAAACTCGCACGTGCATTTTCACTCCAGGATATCCACCCATGATATCTGAGGGTCTACATACCCAAATCAAAATTGTCTTCAGCGCTTGGAGTAAATATTGTCTACTTAGATGGGGGGTTGCATGAGACTGCTTTGATTGTAGTGCAGGAGGCAAAGAGTAGGGGCATACCTATTATAGTTGATGCAGAAAGGTTAAGGGAGGGGTTGGATGATATTCTTGACTTTGCTAGTTATGTTGTATGCTCGACAAAATTTCCACAGGCATGGACTAACGCCCCTTCTATTCCAACTGCACTTGTTTCTATTATCTTGAGATTGATGTCAAATGTAAAATTCATGATTGTGGCGTTGGGTGAAGATGGTTGCTTAATGTTAGAAAGGACGGAAGCGGATAACACTCAGTTTGAAGAAATGGATGTAGCAGTGACCAATGGATGGAGAAATATAAGGATTAGAACATAAAAAGACAGAAAACCCCTTCTAATTCACGGTCAACAAACGGCCTCATTGACGGAGGATCAAAACTGTCCAACGATCAATAGCAGTGGCTACTAAGTGGCAATTTTTATTATGAAGGATGAAAAGTGTCAATGCCCCAATAAGTATAGGGCCAAAAATGACATTAACTCTATTAATTTTAACAAAAAATAATAATATAACATTCAATAAAGCAATCTAACATTTCGTGAGTCGAACACCCCCTACAAGTTTTCTCATATTTGTTGCACTTTTGCTCCCTCCTTTTCCATCTTGCACACATCTTTAGACTTAGGGGATGTTTGGTTCATGGAAAATGTTTTCCAAAAAGTGAAGGAAAATGTTGTTTTCTAGTGTTTGGTTCATGGAATTTATTTTCCATTAGAAAATGAATTCATCAAATTTGAGGAAAACAAAATCCTTGGTTGGACCAAGAATTTTGTTTTCCATGGAAGATGGGAAGAAAAAGTGTAGATTGCCTATTTTATCCTTGCTTTTTTTTTTTTTTTAATTATATTACTTTTATTAATTTGTAGGGGCATATAGATCTTTATACTCATTATTCCTTACAATTCCAAATATAATCAAACAATAGAATTAATATTCCCAGTAATTCTTTTTCCACCAACCAAACAATGAAACTTATCTTCCTATTAATTGTTTTTCCATGGAATGCCAATTTCACTTGCCTTAAAATATTTTTCGCGAACCAAACGAGTACTTTGTTATACTCTACACAATGGATTGCATTACAATTTAATGAATCTTGCAAATATTAAATTACTTTTATTTGTTTGTTAGGTGTGCTCAGCGAAAACACACCATTATGGCTTATACTGAAATTAATAATTTTATTTCTTGATTCCAATTTTAACATTAAAAAAAAACAGAGTATAAATTAAACAATACACCAATATATATAAATAAAAACAATACACGAATATGAAGTTGAAAATAATGATGCAAAAATGGTTTCAATATAAGAAATTCAATAAAATGTGAATTTCTTACTTTACTCCTAAAATTTTAAATTTTTTTAAATTTTTTTATACCAAATGCGTCACTTCGCTCATAGCTCAGGGACTAAAAAAAGATACGGATATAATTCAAGGATTGAGTCGTCACCACCATTATAACTAGGACCAAAATCGCTATTTTCCCTTTTAAATATATGGATCAAAATGATCATTTTGCTAGTGTAACCAAAATTGGTATTGAGAAAATTACCGATTTGGTCCCTCGACTATGAGGATTTCACCAATTTGGTCCTCGACTATCAAAATTACTCAATTTGGTCCCCGACTATGACATTTTTACCTGATTTGGTCCTAAATGTTATTTGCAGGTCAAACCTAAAAGGTAATTTTGGGATTTTAAAAAAGCTAAGTATCTTCCTTCTTCTTCCCTAAATATAAGTCGTTTGTTTTATATAGATAGGTTATTTGTTTTCGATAGCAGTCGCAACTTCAATATGCAACCAAAGTGCAGTGAATCATCTTCATCCAACTATAAGAATCGAATGATGTTCGAAAATGGAGATGCTTATAGCTGGATGAAAATGATGTTGGTACAAGGCAACAAATTTTTGAACATCATTCGATTATTATAGGTAGATGAAGATGATTCACGGCACTTTGGTTGCATATTGAAGTTGCGACGGCTATCGAAAACAAATAACCTATCTATATAAAACAAACGACTTAGATTTAGGGAAGAAGAAGGAAGATACCTTTTTAAAATTCCAAAATTTCCCTTTAGGTTTGACCTGCAAATAACACGTAGGACCAAATCAGGTAAAAATGTCATAGTCGAGGATCAAATTGTGTAATTTTGGTAGTCGAGGACCAAATTGGTGAAATCCTCATAGTCGAGGGACCAAATCGGTAATTTTCTCAATTGGTATTTGTTCAATTTTCTCAGGTCTCAGACTCTCAGCTCCGTCCTCAATCCCTAACCGGAGCACTGCACTGTCTCACTCTCGGCGACTACTCTCCCTCAGCCTCTCTGCGAAGACCGAAGGCCGAAGCCTGCCGCTCTGATCATCTGTTGCGTCTCGCCGTCTCCGATTCTCCACTCTCCGGTCTGTGGCTCTCTGCGACACGCGACGGTTGAAACGGCGACTACTCTTCAAGGTCCTTCGACGAACACTGCTCCGTCTGCTCGGCGCCTTGGCTGCTGCCTTAGACGAGCACTGCTCGGCAGCTCCAGTGCACCCTTCGGGCTTCGATGCTAGGCAGCCCGACGATGAGGTAATTACTAATTCGTAATTAGTTAAGGAACATTGCAGTATATAGTATATGATTGAAGTGTACATATAATTATATATAAGGAACTGTGAATGCAGTATATAGTATATGGTTGAATGCATGAAAATTGTGAAATCTTTCACTTTATAAGTATTAGTAAATTAGGTATTAAAATTTTCTGTCCACTGTGATTATTTGCATTTTTGTGTTCTCTCAAGCATTATGAAATAAATTTAAGAGAATATATATTGCTTTGTAAAAAAAAGAAGAAAAAAAATAACTTACAAAAGCTTGGCAGTGGCACAGTGCTTAACAGAATTTGCCCATTTTTAAGTGGGATTTCTGAGTTGATTTTGGGGATTTCTTTTCACTCAGTTTACTAGAATAACTCCACATGATGACAAAGTAAGGTTTTTAAGTGACAATGGCAAGTGGGGCATTGTGAACTGGTTTTCTTCTGTCCCAAAGGTTTAGACTTTAGAGGCTTTGTGGTTTGCAAGTTGAATTTATTTTCAAAAGAAATCAGTTACTTTGTTTTGTTTTTTTTTTTTAAAATATCATTTCATGCAACCCCCCCAAAATGTCTTCCTTTTTTTTTTTTTTTTTTTTTTTTTTTTTTTCCTAATAAAAAAGAAATGTATTTATGTATTGAAATTGAGGCAAGGTTAATAATTGACTCCTACTTTGCTTTCTAGCATATTAGGCCTATTTTGTTCCTTCGTCCTTTTATTTCTGTTTTTCTCGTCATACGTACATGTTTAATTACAATGAACACACTTTTCTGATCCATTGGAATTGAAATTTTGTGCATTGTCTGTGCTCATGCCTAGATAAAAGATAGAAGAGAATCCAGGAAAAACAAACAAACGAATCATTCATCCTAGCATTCATCATCTCCATTGGACCCTCTGGTCTCCAGTCTCTACTTTCAGCATCACTGCTTTGGAGCTTGTCTATTTCCCATTTGCCATAATCTCTACCTGATCAACCAGTGGCTATGGCTCCAGCATCATCAAAGCTTTACACAGGCCTGCCTTATCTCTTTATTTCTTACTTTACATATCTGTTGCAAGTATACTCCATAGTGCCTGCAGCTACAATAACATTATCCAAATTCATTCCCTGTATTAATTTGTTTTCTTTGCATGAAAATTACCAGATGATGTAAGCTTATTGATGGTGCTGATTGACACCAATCCTTTCTTCTGGAGCTCAATGAAGAATAATGATTCCTTCACATTCTCTAAATTCCTATCTCATGTAACCATATCACATTGAAAACCCTTATTTTGTTTTGCTAAAATATGTTGGCACAAATCAGTAACTATATTCTACTTTTGGAAAAAATGTTGTAGGTTATATCATTTTTGAATTCAATATTATTACTGAGCCAGCTTAACCAAGTGGTTGTGATAGCCACTGGGCACAACTCATGTGACTATATATTTGATTCCTCTGACTCCTCAAATCAGAGGGCAGAGTGCATGTTGGAGAAATTGGAGGAGTTTGTGGACAAGGATGAATCATTGAGTCAAGAAGATTCGGTTGATGGAGTTGGGTCTTCGCTTCTCTCTGGGTCACTTTCTATGGCTCTCTGCTGTATCCGCTGCAATTGAGTTTAATGAGTTCTTTATTAGACAACACTCTTTTACATATTTTTAGTATGTATGCATGCATGAATGAATGAATGTCTGAATATGTATGTTTTGAGATTGTTGGACTTGACCTGTGTGGATGTTTAGATATACAAAGGGTGTTTCGTTCAGGGCCACTCCATCCACAACCGCGGGTATGTTTTCATGTCCTTGGAGGAATTTGAAGTTAATGGCATTTGCATGTTAATATAATTTTCTTAGATGGAAACGTGATTTGGTTATGAGGATATGCTGCATGTATCCATTATGCAAGTCATTTCTTTTCAAGTCATTAGTTAAGTACCTCCACCAAACAAACACTACTAACTTAAAAGATGAAAAAAACAGAATGAAAAAGAGTTTTTTTTTTGGGTATAACCTATTTGCATTAATGTGTGTTCTGGTTGTAAATGTATTTAATATTCTACAATCATTAATTATCTTTCTAATTGACCTCTGCAATACAAGGTATAATCAAGAAACAGTGTCCCAACTATATGTCAACCGAAATTTCCATGCAACTAGCCTTTCTTGTTACTCATATATTTGCTTATATTTTTATAGATTTGAAATGTTCATGAAACATGTATTATATGGGTAATTTGTTCACATGGTGTCACCAAATATTTTTATGTTACTGTTAGCAGTACGCTAAGTAAAATAATTGGTGGATATTATCTTCATCAGATGTAAAATGTACAGGCTTGATTTGTCTTGTGGATTTCCACCTGCTTTAAATCTGCTCCTGATTTATTGGATAAAAATTTCTTCTGAAAAGCTAGTTTCGCTGATGGCAGATATTGTGTCTTCATGGATCTCCGGATGGGCCTGGACAGTATGTGCTTTATGGTCTTTTGAGCAGTAAAAACTTTTCACAAATCACAATTCAGGTTTATGCTTAAAATTGTATTCTCTGCAGATACGTGGCCATCATGAATTCAATTTTCTCTGCTCAACGTTCAATGGTAAATTGATTGTTTTTGTTTTTCTTCGAGCTATAAGTTCCCGTTGAAGGCAAAGAACACTGATATGATATTATGAAAGCTTTTGTTTTGTTTTTTTGTTTGTTTATGCCTTGAGTCCTGATGTTATGATGCTTCTAAGTTCATTTCTAGTAGAAGGCATGTCAGAGATTTTTATTCAACATATTACGTTTTATTTATACCACATGACAGTGGGTGGGTGGGGAATTATTGGATAGTAGTCTGCTTGACTACTATGGGAGTATGAGCTTTGCCTGTCACCTTAAGGGGTTTGTTAAGAACACTTAAAGTGAAAAGGCAGTACACCACCTGACCATCTAAGGGTGTTACATATTCACATGAACATTTCCTTTGTTGTTTTCAAATATTCTCAAGATAACCGTAGTGAAAAATTCAGTCACTGTTTTTGAACATTTAAGTTGACTATTGTGGAATTTTATTATTTTTTCTATTGTGAACAATTAAGTCAGTGCTTCTTAACATTTAATTGCTCATTTGGACATTCTTGATGTTTGTCTGCTATTCATACTATGTGTGCATGGGGGAATACTGGTCTAAGCACCAGAGCTCAAAGTAGAATTTGCTCTTAAAAGGAATTATTCAATTACTAAATAGAGAATGTATGCAGTTGGAGTTCGAATGAATAACATAAGCAGTCTTAAGTGAACTATATATCCAGTCACAGTTCAAAATTCAAAATAAATTACATTCAATTATTCAAATGAATGGGACTAGAAATTCAAAATGAATCAGGACCTATTGGATTTAGGCACAAATTGCTTGTAACTTGCTGTCTGATTGCAATGATACAACATCTTCTTGAGTTGGGGTTCTTGTGTATGTGTTGGGGGAGGGAGGAGCGGGGAGGCAGGTTGGAATAGTAGCAAAATCTGCTTCAGCAATGTGATGATATATTTACTAGTTTTAGTATAATACATTTGCAGGTACCAATAGATTCATGTGCTATAGGAGCCCAGCATTCAGCTTTCTTGCAGCAGGTATTTACATTTACATATTGCAAGTGCCACCCTGCATCTTCTCACGAAATTTCTTTGTTGGTCTTACTAATTATTATCTATATTGGTTAACAGGCTTCATACATAACTAATGGTGTATATTTGAAGCCCCAAATATTAGATGGACTGTTTCAATATCTTTCGGTAAATTCTCTTCTTGATTTGATAACATCAGTTATTGATTTTAATTTTAATATCATGTGGATGTTTTAGGCATTTGACACCTGAATATTGTGTTTGCTGAGCTTGTGGTTAATATTATTCAGATCTATTTTGTCAAATACCATAAATTTATCTTTTCAATATGTTTCTACTTTTTTGATGGGTAAATGTATTGTGTTGTGATAGTGAATACATTAACATGTAATCTATATCATGAAATTTCTAATTACTAATTGTTACAACATGCAGACTGTGTTTGCTACTGATTTGCATTCTCGTGCCTTTTTACATCTTCCCAGGCCTGTGGGAGTTGACTTCCGTGCTTCGTAAGTTGTTAACTAATATGATTCTTTTCTTTTTTGGGTACATGAAGTAGTAGGATGAAGTTGTTAGCTCATATAATGGATATGATATTCCTTCCTATATCTTATACTGAAATTGGCACCCTAATATTGTGAATTGGAGATATTGAATCAAGTAAACATTCATTTTCTTATTGTTGCTGGTATTCTCATTCTTTCTTTTCTTCATGTTACACAATTCTAATTATCGTCAATGATAAATGTTTTTGCATTTTTCTTTTCATGGTTCCTATGAAGCTTAATTTTAGGGAAAAGTAGAAGTATAAAATCCCAACATCATGCCACCTCTCATACTTACATACTGTTTGTTTAGTTCATTTTAGTTTTTATTTCTTTGTTCTTATAATTTTTTTTTAAAAACACTTGCCCATGAGTTGAATTCCAATATTTGACCATTAATATTATTCCACTATGGCTTCTGATTCTGTCAACTTTACAAAACAATTCAGGTGCTTTTGCCACAAAAATACAATTGACATGGGCTATATATGCTCTGTTTGTTTATCCATTTTCTGCAAGCATCAGCCTCAATGCTCGACATGCGGGTAAGTGGCTATTTGTTATAATATTTTCAATCTTTGAACTGCTAATCTCACTACAGTTTGTGTAGTTTTTGTATTTGATTTCAAAAATATGTTTCCGTCACTGGTTATATCTTACTGTTTGGATTGGATATGCTTTTCTGGTAAAACATTCCATGGAAAACTTACATATGGTTCTTTCTCTTGCTTCCCTGGGGATGGTAATTTTCACACTTCTGCCAGTGTACAAAAGTTAAGTGTAAAGTCTTGAGTTCTTATCTTACGGTGCAGGTTCTTAATTGAGATGTAAAAATCCTAATTCCTAAGTCTACGGTATTTTTGTGAACACTAGCAAATTTAGGTTGAATTGCTAAGTAGCCTTGTAATATATATTTAACCTCAGTTCCTTTTTTGGAAGTATGAATTTGCTGACATCTTGATTTTGGTCATGGAATCTGCCAAATGCAGATCGGTTTTTGGTAAGGCTAGAGGACAGGAACCTGCTGCGCCGTAAGATCACAAGAAAAGACACTGGCTAATGGTCATTTTGGGAGGGTGACTATTTCCTCTTGTTGCTATGATGCTGTTGGTCACATCACTCAATTCCATTTGTGAAGAAGACCTGTTCTGAAGGCTTTTCTTTATGCCCTTTATGGTATGGCTCCATCATTACAGAATAACCGAAACACTGCTGGAATGCATTTTGCAACCAGACATTTTGCTAATGTAAACTTTCCTATAATTTCAATCAATTTAAATTAATGAATATATACCCTATTGGAAAACTTTTTATTATAAACTTTGTGCGTCTAATATGTTTAATGATCAATATTAAAGCCACCGATTGAGAGGATTTTATAGTTCTGTAATTAGGATGAGATTGAAGCTAAGTTGAATTAGTATATGAGGAGGGAAGGGATAAATAGGGCTTTGCAGTTTGCAAGTATAAGTTAGAGTGCCCAAAGAGGGTGGTAATGAGAATATTCAAAGGGGGAGCTTTTTGATATAGGGAAAATGTTATTCTTATCCTATTACATCTGTACAACCTCAGAATGTGCTAGGGGCTAGTAAGAATTTGCAGCGGTTTCTTGAAAACACCCGAGTATAATATGGATGGCGATTGATTCAAAGATCAAGAAGTGTTGCGGTTACAGAGGCAGTAACCGGATGCAAGAGAGCTGAAGGCAAAGGCAACAAAAGCCAGGAATGACATCGCAATGGATGCGCTCGCCATTTGTGTGAAGTCATCTTTTCCCCAGTTTGATATCCAGTCATCTACCCTTGTTGCAGCAGATGATGATGCTGACATCAAAAGGTATGCCAAAATCTGCATGTCCAATATAACAAAGTGAGATGCATTATTTCCACTGGCATGTATGAGAAATCTGGCAATACAGTGAGTGCTGTAGTGTAAAGAAAGTTTTTGAACCACCCCTCTACTTTAGATGCTCTAGAATCAATGGGAAAGATAGGGGGGCCATGGCACAATTAGCTTTCAGTTTTATGAAGGTATCATAATTCATTTCATGTTAAGGTTAACCTTCTAAAAATGGTGAAATTTGGGTTGATTATTAGAAACTCAAGGGTGATTTGAAATGAAATTGTCTGCAGCTTAGGGCATCTATCAATTTCCGAGATACCCATTTATATACAGCCTTTGGGAATATATTCTTGGGGCAGTAATTATACATGGACACAAATTGCAGTACTAGATACTGCAAAATAATACAGCCCAATGACCCCATGTTCCAGTTGTTATACCATGGTCCAGGGTTCACCTTGCAAGGTGGACTCTGGTCCTAAATTGTGTATTTTTAGTATTGGAATTGTGAACATTTAGAACATAAATTGTGTTTCTAAGTTTTGAAAATTTGTGAATACAATACAGAGTCATCACAAGTTGTGAACATTTAGTATATAAATTGTGTATCTTTGGACCCGAGTCCACAAAATAATTTGCCCCCCATGGTCCCAATCAGTTAATTATCAAAAGAGGCATATCAACTCATTAATATGCCATGTACCAACTTCATGCTAGGTCTCAGTCCTTTGTTCTTGCAAAATAGCCATGGTAGTGTTTTTTTTCCGTCTTTTCTACAGTAAAAATAAAAGCAAACTTGCCTGATCCATCACAAAATTGAACTGATGACGCAGACCAGAAGAGCTGGAGTTTGTAGCCAACAAGTAGGATAAATTAAATCCTTGGAATCCAGAATATACAAATCCGATGACATTCAATGCTAGGCAATACCTGTACCCAAACAAAGTGAGTTAAAAACACACAAAAACTAAATGAGGGGACCAAGTCACAAAAGAAGTGAAAAATACCAAAGAATAATTATAATGTCACTTCCCCTACCATTCAAGAAACATGGCAATCAGCTAATGTTATCAACCAGTCAAACTCACTAACCCAAACAGTTAGTGACAACACCCTCAAAATAAACACTACATGATGCCAAGGTGAAATGGACCAAGACAAGTGTGTGTTTTTTTTGTTCATATTGCACCGGTACCAGTATCTTATAGGACATGACTGGTTTAGCTGGGGACTGGAGTTGAGCCTAACCCAATCCTATTTGGACTTAAGCGACTCTTTCAAGTGCTGTATTTGGAATTACTCTCCCAATTCCTTACAAATGCTCACTATTTTCAACAGAAATTTTGCACAATAATTTTTGGGTACATTTCAAGGAAATGAGATGGGAGATTCAACCTAAAACTCTTTATCTATGAAAAAACTTATACTATTAGACAAAAAAAATAAAAAAATTAGCACAACAATATTGATGAATATAATCTCTAGTTTGTAGGTTAGTTGCATTCATCGGAAAATTTTCATAATACCTTACAACTTCAGGCTGTATAACCAATTTTGAAAAATGATAAAATGTGTAAATAATACTCGGTATTAAATAATTGTGTTGATTATTTGTTCTAACTGTCCTGTTGATTTACTATTCTTTTTAAATTTAAAATATAGTATAAGGGAAAATTGTAATTTATGCATCTCCATAATACGTCTCTTTAATTATTAGTGGTGTAAATGTTGTCCATAAATTTTTAAAATGATACATATATTACCCCTCCCATACCGTACGGAGAAAAATTGAAGGGTAACATTTACACTACGGGAGGAACAATATATATACCTTTTTGAAAATTGAGGGGCAATATTAACATTACTAATAATTCAGAAGTAACATTAATAGTTGGCATATTATGGAGGGACATAATTACAAATTTCTCTAGTATAATGTACTATTTCGTAGGAATCATATAAAATTGAATATAGACTATATACCAAAACAGTCTCTTGGGCAAAAATTAAAACAAAAAAAAGAAAATAGTATCAACTAATTTGACCAGGAAAAAATTAGAGAAACTAATAAATAAAGTAAAAAGAAAAAAAGGAATAGGAAATTAAAAACCTGTACTCTTTGTATCGATCCCAAGAGTCGCCACTCCAGCCTTGAGTTTTATCAGCAGCCATGACAGAGAACGAAATCAAGCAAAATATCACTTCGCAAACCCTAAACCCTAACGCCGCTTTACTAACCATGATATGCCGCGGTGTGGAATCGGCGGACGACTCGGATCTCCACTCACCTCCAATCTCGCCCTCCTCCACGTCAGCGCGGCGGCCGACATGCTCCACCTTGGTGATCGCTTCCTCCACGGATGATCGGTTGCGGTAAACCTTGGAGGAAGAGCGGTGCTCGAGATGCGGCGGCGGCGGCGGCGGTTTCGGCGCCGAGCTGAGGTGCTCCGACGACAGCTTGCTAGGGGATCGTTGAGGGGAGTAGAACTTGTCGACGGCGATAATGGCCTTAGAGGTAGGAGACTTGGAGTTTGATTCCTGCTGCAACTGTTCTTCGTAGCGTAAGGGCGAGTGGAACATGTCGATCGGACTAGCTGTTGAGTCGTTATCGGACATGGAGACATGGCTGCTCTGCTTCCGGTGATTCTTCTGGTAGTAATGGTGGCCGGAATGTGAATTGGAGTTGGAATTTGGAGCTGGTTTCTCCATTCCGAACTACTTCGCCGGAAAGAAATTTCAAGTCGTATCGGGAAAATGAAAAGATCAGAGGAGGGAAAAAACAAAAGAAATAAAGGCTTTTTGTTTGTGGAGAGAAACTTTGCGGAAAGGAAATGGGTCCGATCGGCAACTTAAATCATAAAAGCTTTAGCTCCCGGCTGATCAGGTATGCCATTGCACGTAACTAAATTTAATTTTAACTTATATTAGTTGTTGAATTAATTAATTTTTTTTTTTGTAACAATTTATTGTTTAAAAATTTAAAAAGTTGCTCAAAACAATTTATTTGATTAGTTTTTTTGAGAAAGTTATTAAACATTTAATTCACTATTAGCTAACAGTTAATTTACCAAACACTTTTCTACAATTAGCTAATGATATTAACTAATCAAACTTACTAAGCTAATCAACATTCAACAAACATTTATTTATCAAACACCTCTTCCATCCAGGGACGGAGCCAAAAATTTGGTTGGGGGCGAAGAAATAGGAAAGATTCAGAATTTTTTTTTTCAATAAAGACGAAACATTAAAATAAAAGAGATAGTTTAAAAAAAAATAAACACATCTCATTATTAATATAAAAGAATGTTATATATATGTATATATATATATATGTGTGTGTGTGCGTGTGTTATAAATATTAAACATCTATTAAAAACGTGACAAAAAAATGTTGAAGCTATCTAAATTAACTCATCTAAATCAAATCTTGTTGACATTTAATAGTTTTATTTTACTAATACTAACACATATTCTATATATACTGCTGAAGCTATCTAAATTAACTCATCTAAATCAAATCTTGTTGACATTTAATAGTTTTATTTTACTAATATTAACACATATTCTATATATACATATATACATACAAAAATTATATATGGGGCGGGGCTGGGGTGAGGTGGGACAGCTGACCCCCATGCCCCCCGTTTAGCTCCGTCCCTGCCTCCATCTATTTCACTCTCTCCATAAACAATACTCTCATTTTACATATTCTATTTATTATTTATGGGTCAAATTAATTATTATTATTACTTTTTTACATATTTTAAAATTTATTTATTTTAATCTTTAATAATACTTTTAATGTAATTTTTAAATTATAAAGTTTGTATATTAATATTAAGCTTAATATTAAAAAAATTAAATTAAAAATAATTTTAATCAAACATAAAAAAATATTAAAGATAAAAGAAAAATCTCCTATACCATCTTAGAGGAGTGAAGTTTTTCAATGTAGTATCTGGACTCGAACTCACAACCTTCCGAATGAAAATTTATTCCAAGTACCATTAGACCACATAATCTTGATATTACCATTTTCTCTTAAGTATTAAGTTTTCTCACATTTTAAGATTAAAATTTAAAAAAATAAAGTTAAGAGAAAAATATACTAAAACTTAAAAAATAAAAATCCTTTACTTAAAAATGAAGATTTGAAAAATAAATTAATTTTTAATTAAAAAAGACTAATAATATTTTAACTTAAACATGAATTTCTTTTTCCTATTTTTATTTTTATTGATTCGAAATTTAAATAAATTCAATTACTGCACACGCTCTAAACTTTAAAAAAAAAAAAAGAAAAAAGGAAAAAGAAAGTTTTAATCGTAACTTTAAGAAAAGTGCGTATTGCACAGTTCGATGAGATGACCTGTGGCCCACCCACTGTATGAAGTAACCTTCCAACCATGAAAGATCAGAGAATGTTACACTCCACTTTAAAAAAGAAAATAATAATAATTAGTTTACTTTCAACAAATATAACGCTTATATTATATGCTCATATTTTATTAAATAAAAAATATAATTCGCTTTTTTTTTTTTTTCTAAAAAAAATGTATGAATCAATCAAGGCATATATACTTTAAAAAAAGTGTTTAAAAAAGAAAAATGCATATATTATTTATTTTCCCTTTTCGTCCATTTTAAAATAGGAAAATATTTTGTTTTCCTTTAAATTTTTGCCTCCTAAAAATATTCCCATGAGAATACTCTCTCACTTTCACTAAATTGAATTACTTTTAGCGTTATATACTATAGTTGTGTACAACGATCACAAAACACATGTTTGTAATTTTTTCTACTAAATTATGTTACATGAAGGTGTACTCTGGGTGACACAAGAGGTAAACTAAGTATATGTTGCCCATAACTCAAACTGAGAAGAGCAGTGCCCACAATGAGTCGAATTTGGAATATTGTGGTTATCAAGCCAACTACACGATCAATTATCACAATATATAAATGTTTGAGATTTTTTTTTTTAACCAATAAGTCTTTGAAAATAAGATGGAGAGAATAATAGAAATAGAAAAAGAAAAACGAATGAAGACCATGAATTTGACCATGGAAATGCCAAAGCCACATGTGGGGAAAAAATGGGTTTGGTAGGAGAAATTGGTCAATATTTGCAAGTGTACGTCAAGATCCTAAAGTAGTAAAGTGGAAAGCTTTAATTATAAAATCCATAAATTAAACCAAATCTTTTTTGAGGGTCCCAAAATAAAATGGTTCAACTACTCATCCTCAACTAAGGTCACTATCAACCTTACTCAATCATACATTGTATTTTTAATCATTTTCAACTTTTTCAACAACACATACACCTCTGTCTCTATGTTGTATATATAAAATATAGAAAAATCCTATCCGCGTATCATAAGTTTTATTTTGTTAGCAGTGCAAATTGCATAATTCGAATTTTATTGAGGATAAAAAAAAATGAAGACATAAATTTGACCTTGTTATATACATTAATATATGCATTTGGAGACCTGTAGACCAGTTAAGGTACATTTCACGATTTACCTCTTCTACCCGTGGGCAAGAGTAGTGAAGAGCCCTTTAGTATGGGGTATAATTATATATACTAATTTTTTTTATTATATTATGTATTATCGATATTGATATCTATAATACCATATACAATCAAATATATCATACATAATTGTACTTGATATTATTAGTACCGTAAAAAAATTCATATATAATAGTTATTAGGTGTGTACTCTGAAATTTTGCTCAATGCATGTCCAGAATTTATAGTATTTATGAAATTGTCATAATGTTTTCTCATTTTTTCCTTCTCCTCCTCCCAAAAGGTTAAATTCCCAACCTCATGGGTCCCCCACACCCCAATCCGACATAGCATTTGAGAGGATGTAAATCACGATGACTCAAAATAACTTAGCAGATAAAGTCAAATGCTGGTGTGCACAAGTTATCAACTCACTTTAGACATAATTCTCATACCTACTGCCCAAGGGATCTGACTCATTTTTTCCTTACTATTAAGTCGTTGATTATCCTGGGGTGACGGTGAACATTAATTTACATTTGTACAAGAAATATTGTTCAGATTCTAATTTTACATATACATATATGAAACAGTTTATTTAGAAAAAGAGTTGCGGTTAAACTTTATTTGAAAAAAAAAATGGAATTTGAAATATTATTTAAGGAGAAGAAAAAGTTGTTATTTAGATTGGTGATTGGTAATTGGTGTACTGTATGTATCTTAGTTAGTAAGAAAGAGTAGGTAGACTTGTCAAACTCATTATATTAAAATAAATAAAACTTTAAATTGACATCTTACGTGGACAATGCGTTGAAATTTCTCTTACTTATTTTGTTTTTTATTCGATTATTTTTAATTAATGTAAAAATATATAATTACTATATGAAGATATGCATTTATTGGTCATAGTCGATTAACTTATCAATTGAATAAGTCAATTAGACCAACTTAACTAGAATCGAATATTTGATGACTATCTACAAAGCATATATGTGGAAAAAAATAAAATTTTATTGTTCAAATTTATATAGTAAGTTGGTGATAATTATAAAAATGTCACTATATATATATATTTTTTTAAAAAATTGATATGATGTAAGGCTGAGATTGTTTTTTTATTTCTCTCCTAATGATTTGTTCTCATTTAAGCCCTAGAGAACCCGCGACTACAAACATCGACGTGATGGGGAGTGACAGCGATAGGAGAATCGGCAACAGAGAGCGACGGTTGAAGACCACACGCACAGAGAGCGACGACTGAAGACCAAACGCACAGAGAGTGACGACGACAGGAAAATCGGCACTGAAATGTGAGGTGTGCGACTCTCCATACGGCTGACGATCAAACACAAAAAAAAAAAAAATACCGAGAATAACTCCGCGGTATTCAAATTGATAATGAATTAATTACTATGCGAAATTACTTCACAGTAAAGCCCCTAAAATTATTAAACTTCAGCGACAAACAATAAAGAAACCCTTCAAATCTGAACCCTTAAATTAAAAAAGGGATG